CCCCAAAACCCCAAAACCCCAAAACCCCTATAAAATTAGTAAAATAAAAATGGATTCTTCAGTTGCAGAAGATCCTTTGTTTTTTGATGCAGGTAAAAATAGATTTCAATATTGTAGAGGAGTATGTCACTCATAGTGAATATGATGAAGAAGTGAAGACTTTGAATTTGATTATTGCTTACTTTAAACAAACCATGGAGAGAGAGCAAGAAAGAGTTGCTCACTATCTATTGGAACAATTTAAGCTAAAAGAATTTTATTATCAAGAGACTATTGAATACCTAAAATCTGATATAAAATAAGCGTGAAGACTCTCTCTACCAGTCTGGAAGAATGAGAGAGCTAGAGACTAAGCTGAAAGACTTCAGTAACGATGCTCTCAAGCATAAAGCCCTAGAAGAAGGCAACAAACAGTATGCCTCTTAGTTTTTGTAACAATTTTAGCCTGATAGATTCCTTAAAAGAGAAAACAGATTTTCTTCTCAAAGATCAACAGTTCTTTGAGGATCAGGCCAAAACTTATCTCTGCTTGGTAATAATATCTTTAATTTCAGAAATAAAAAATATCAGAAGGAAATTAAGGACTATCGGAAAGAGATTAAGGAGCTTAACATAAAGTATATTTGTGTTAATCCTTTAGAATTTCTCAGTTAGAGCAAGAGAATAAGCAACTTTTGGAGCAACTTCAAAATCCAGATATGAGAGTGACTGACATTGAAGCTAAAAATGGGAAGAAAATTCAGAATTCCTTAAGCAACCCTGCCTTTACCTTGGCTGGGACAAAGGGTAAACGTAATTGTAATAACAAGAGACAGTCTATGACTCCTAGCAGAAATACCTTGAATTCTAAGAGTCTGAAGTTTATTCAAGGAGAATCAAAATTCTTCGAAGATAGATTCAAGAATATTATTGGCAAGTATCATAAACCTGACGATAACACTGTTTATGCAAATATTGGAACGACTCATTATGTCCATGGCTCTCCTAAGCAGAAGAGAGTGAATAGTTACTTCAAGTTTAAAGACCAAACTGTTAAAAAGAGAATCAAGTCTCCAAATCCTAATAAGAACCAATTCAAACTAGCCCTTGAATTAGGTCAGAATACTTGTATGGACAAACTAAGAGATGGAATCAAAGATGATATGGCCAGATCTCTTCTTGCACAAAATGTACTTAATACTAGGAAACAAGAGTTTATTGAAGAAAGTGGGTACACTAAAGGCGATGGCGAAGTTCCTTTCTTGCTGTTCAATCATTTTAAAATCAAAATTGATGTAAGTATTATCTTCCTCAACTCTAGTCAAAGGATCCTCCATTGAAGAACACCACAGCAAGATCTAAAATAGATGCAAAGCTGTTTACAAAGCAGGAATATGATAAATTCAACAAAGTGATGGGTTTCCCATATCACAAAATAAAGAAATCTCTTGCAATTACTAAGAATCTACAGGGCTCTCCAAATCATCAAACAGCTTCTGCTAAGAAGCGATTATTTGTGAAGAGTGAGATCAAGCCCTACATGCATAGAGCTGGAAGGAAGGATAATTCTGTGAAGAGAGTTCCCAAAAAGAAGCAAAATAAAGAGGCTCATTAAAACTTTCACTTATTGTATTTCAACCGATTGAAGCCCATCAGGGGTTTTGGGGTTTTGGGGTTTTGGGGTTTTGGGGTTTTGGGG